CCCGCCTGTGTTCTTGTAGGTGCACAAACACAGCGGGTACATGGCCGGAGAAGGCAGCACAGTGCCGCTGCCCGCCCCGGGGGCTTTGCAGGACTGTCAGGCAGGGAGGGATCCAAAACTCTGCTCGCCCTCCCCAGCCGGGAAGGGGAAAGCTCCTTTGAGCCCATCCCAGGCAAAGAGGCTGCTGCTGGGGCGAGTGCATAGGGATGCTCCTGGCAGGGATGCTCCCGCTGGTGCCCCTTCCCGCTCCGCATTGCTCCTCTTCCCGGCTGGCCTCGGTAGAGCACCTTGGAGTCACTCGTTTCACATGCTCATCCTAGGCCACGGATGCAGGAACAAGGTTGCGGCTCCAGCGAGCTTACACTCGATGTTTTCCCACTTTGCAGCACCAGCAAGCAGGTAGGATGACAAGTTTCTTTCCCCTTCGAATCCGGGCACTCGCTGCTGCTTCCGAGTCCTGTTTGCCTTCCCCAGGCCAGGACCCGAGCCCCCGTGTCCCGGGACTAAATCCTGCATGTGCCTGGCTCTGCAGGAGCTCCCTGCCCAGGTTTGCATGCTTGGGAGGCATGCGGGGGCTGTCCGGGACATGTCTGGCATGAAGCCTCCTGGCAGGTCACCAAAAGCTCCTGCTTTTAGCACTTGCCCCAGAGCTGCGTGATCGATAAACCCAATTGCAGTGCGAAGGCTGGCGGGCAGCTCGAGGGGGCTTTCTGGGGCAAGCAGAGCCCTTTTCTCACTAAGCACTGCATGGATTTGCAACACAGCTATTGCAACACACAGAGCCCTGGCTGGGTGTAGCCAGAGCGGGGAGCACCACGGCCCCCCGGCAGCAGCACTCCGTCATGGGGGTCTGCGGCACCACTTGGCCCCGGGGTCCCAGCCCCTGCACGCTCGAGGGACTGAGATTTCAGCCTCCTACTTTTGCAGGCGACTAAAGAGCACAGGACTCACGATGTAGGTGTAAAGGCAGAGCCCAGGTTTGCTGCTGAGGACTTTCCCTGGCAGAAGCATCGCTGGTGGGGACCGTTCCCGGCAGGATGCTGGCGTGGCAGAGCACTAACGCCACGGGCTGGGTCCTCAATGCCACGTGGAGCAGCTGCTGAGCATCTGGTCCAGCTCCTTTGGTGCCCACTGAAACCTAGAACAGACCATCGCCAGCGTTATGGCAGAGCAAGGGGGGGTGGAAAAAAAAAAAAAGATGAGAAATCAGGAGGATTTTTTAAAAGTTTATTCTTTCTTCATAAAGAAACATGTAAAAATAGCAAACTGGCTGGGCCAGAGCTCTCTATAAAAACACAAAACCATGCATAGTAAAAAAACCAATACTATTTTTATATTAGCTTTTAAGTTAATATATGTACACGTTTACAATTACTAAATAAATACATAAATACAAACTTTCTGCTTGTGTTTTCTGGACAGGTGAGGAGCGGGGAGAAGGGGCAGCAGCGGGAGGGACGGGTGCTTCGCAGCACAGGGCAGCCCTGGCTGCAGAGAGGGGCTGGCCATGCCCCTCGCGCTCTCCCACCGCGCTGGGGAAGATCCTGGTCGGCTGGGCTGTACCGGGGTGGCAGCACACGTAGCCAGCTCAAGTAATAATTTTTTCCAGCCAAGTTGTCCCTGAGCTATGTGTGAGAGCCAGAGCAAGGGGTAAAGTGTTTCAAGAGCTACCCATCCAGCTGGAGGATGGATGGTGGGTACCCACAGTCATGCTCGGACCTCAGTGCATTCACCTTTCCATGCTGGCTGGAGACAAACAGGGACAGCAAAGCCACCCCACGGCCAAGGGAATGGGAACTAACTGACTTGACCAAGGCCATGGAGAAGGATGTTTCTGGCACACCGATAGTTTGCTGCCCACGTTCCCCATCCTGCTCCGAGGAGGAGCTCACTTGCTCCCTGCACTGACCGTTTTCTTAGGCAACCTCAGTGATCACAAAGCAAGTAAATCATTCCCACCCTCCCCTCAAAATCCAGTTTCAAACTGATTTCTAACAGCAAGCAGAACCACTATCAGCTAAAATACAACTCAGTCAACAGCTTTAACTAACCCAAGAACCCAGTTAATGCTTGCCCACCAAGCATACAGTATTGCTGGCCAGCTTAGAGATGTCCTACAAGCAGAAGCCATTGCATGATGCCAGGAACCCCCCAAAAAAGGATGATGCAGTTAAAAACCACAGGGATGCCTACATCCTGCAAAGGCCTTTCTCTGCACTGATTCTGAAGATGTCTGTATAGTACCAGTGCTTCCAAGAGAGACAGTTCCAGAGGCAGCTTGCAGTAGTTTTAGGCTCTCTGCATTGACCCAGTGAAATCAAGGCACCAGCCTGGATTTCAGAAGGAAGCACCGACATCGAGCCCATAGCTTCAGCAGAGAGGACTATGAGGTTTGTACTTCATGAGAGGATTAACTCCTCCGGGCTCAGCTGAACTGTACAATGGCTTCAAAAAGAAAGAGCCAGAGGAGAGCTATAAAAAGATAAAACTCAAGTATTCTTAGAGGTATTCATGGTTTGCGGAGATGTAGGGCCTGCCCTGCTCCTCAGCTCATTTCATATTGGAAATATCCCTGCTGGACCAGCTTGGAGGAGATATCCTCTGCAATGCCTCCGAGATTGATCTGGTGCAGGGTCTCCAGCAGCGTGTTCACAGAGGCGTTCATCCCTTGTCTGTTCTGCCACGTGTTGAGCATCTGGAAGAAGGGCTCCAGTGAATACTTGTCGTTCAGCTCTGCGATGGCAATGTCGTTCTCCAGCAGATCAAGGGCTCGGCCATATCTCTTCCAGTCCTTGTAGGGCACGTCTTGGGCAAAGATGTCAAAAGATCGTCGCAAAACTAGAGGGGAAGGGAAAAGCTCAGAGAACAGGGTAAAGCACGGACAGCTGGGTCAGAAAGGATTTTGCCCAGAAAGCTCATGCCACAGGCTCACCCCCTCCCCACCCCCCTGCACATCCCCTGGACCCCAACACTTACCGGTAAAGGGGTCTTTTCCTTGCACTGGAACCAGATTCCACCTGGGTTGCACACTGGGATAAGAGGTCGTCGGTACCACCACCTGGAAAGAAAACGTCCTATACCAACCACCAAGCCCCAGCACAAATGGTGTCCCCAAGGCCCATTAACAGGGGGGTTGGAGACCCTCTCCCTCTCTGCGGGGGCTGTTAGGGCAGGAGATCACCACCACCACCCCCCCAGGACACCCATCATTTCCTAGCTTTGGGATGACAGCAGCCCACGAGCAGGGGAGAGCTGCCTCATGGGTCCCGGCCAGGGAGAGAAGAGCTGTCTGTTGGCTCAGCATCAGCATTAAATCTGCGGAGGATTCTGGCAGCTGACTGCAACAAGCAGATTTTGCAGTCCTGAACCCAGAACAAGGACAAGAGCCCACGCGCCGTCTCTGTGCAGAAACCGTGGTCCTGGAACCTGATCAGCTTGGTGAAGGCAGAGAAAAGCATCAGACCTCGGCCGAGCACGACAGAGCAGAGGGGCACGCTCACGTACCTCCAGCCCTGGAGCGCTGGGAGTCACCAAACCCGATGCCCTGGGGAGCAGCTGATCCCGGGAGATCTGCTCGTTGCGGTTGTTGTCCTGCGTCCCCAGGCCCCCTCTCTGGCACCTCGTCAGCTGCCGCACCAGGTAGCCCTGCGGCAGGAGAGAAGCAGAAACCAGCCGAGTCGGGTCCCAGGAGGGCAGGGCTCACACCGACCCCTCAGGGATGCCATCTACGGCAGCGGCATCCACCCTGCCATGGTTTCAAGGGCATGGCTCCCGCCCCCCCCTTTCAACTTTTGGG